CTCCTTTCTTTCTTCTTTTGTGGTAGTAGTGCTTTATTCCAGGGCCTTGCATACACTGAATCTATCCCTCAAGCTTCATATGCTAGAAACAGGACCCCCAAAACACATTTCAGTGATAATCGGAGGTGGGACCATTGGGTGGCAACTGGGCCACACAGGTCCCCGTGCGTGGTTGTGTTAATGGTATAATCAAGAGCTGCTCTGTCATAGGAGAATGTACTCTATGGCACACTAGCTCTTTCACCACATGAGTCTCCATGATGCCTTGGGTCTCTCCAGAGGTGCCAACAGTGACACTCCTTACCTGATGAAGCCTTTGACTTGGACTGTAAGAAATATTCATTTTCATTATAAACTACCCAGTCCCAGAATGTGGACTAAGACAGCTGGCAATTACTATTACAGTTTGAGCTACACAGGTATTCAGGGGATAGGAGATATGAGGTGATATCACAAAGGTCTGGGTTCAAATCCAGCTCCCCAGTCCCCAATTCTATGGCTTATGTCCCTTGGCAAGGCTGTCTGAGCCTCAGGTCTTTCTTTGGTAGAACGGGCCTCTGGAACTCTGGATGCTATGATGTGGAGGGAAAGGGCCCTTATGCAGTGTTCAGTGTTCACACAGCAACACTGGATGACACATGCCTGTGTGCATTTGTTTTGATTGTATGCTACTTCCAGCGTGACGGGCACAGGGACTTCATCATTTTCCTCTCTGAGCCTTTTCAGAGAATGCAGTCACCAAGGACAGGCACACGTTAGAGCCTCTTCATCTCACAGCATTGAACCCAGAGCTCTGTACAGATGAAATACCCAGGAAACTGGAGAGATGGGCAAACCTACGCCAGTGATGAAGACTGATCCCGTGGCAAAGAGCAGAACTATGCCCTTCACTGAGTTTACACAAAACCCAGCTAGGTCTGGGTTAAAAACCTGTTTGGGATTAGTGGATCAACTTTCAGAAGAGGGTAAGCAAGCTATGAGCGAAACACATGCTTCCTTTAAAACCACCCACTAAAGGGAGTGTCTCTGAGGGGCAGAGACCTTTCAGAACCACATCAAAGCGCTGCTGTCCCTGAGGTCAATAGTTCAAGTCTCTCCCAAGACATGCTACTTGAGACAATGCCTAGCCCTTGGGAAAAGTACCCAGGTGATTTTTTTTTTTAATCCCAGGCAAGGATCCCATACTGAAGAGGGCGTCTTTGCCAAATGCACCTCAATTTCCTGTGTCGGCAAAAGCATGCACCCAGAAACCCCATCAGAATCAGACTTGTAACAGGAAGGCATCTTTCTGCATGCATGTTTTGATTTGAGAAACAAAGACATCCACATAACAGAGAGCACCAGCCTCCACAATGGATACTCCAGAAGGAAGACCTGAGCTTCTAACAGATCACAGCTAAGTTACAATTTGACAAAGCCATACAAGGCTACAACTCAAGCCAATCCACTATTTGTGGAGTAGCCACTGGGTAAGATGAAATGAAAGATATTGAGACTCAACGCCTGTTGGGCATCCCACCTCCACTGTTGAGGGAGGACACCAGGATGTGTATAGCACCAGAAGCCCCACAGTATGGGCTTGAGTCAAGGCCCTGGAGCCAGAGACAGCCAGTAAGAAGACACTGTGGCCCATGTCATGTGATATCATCTCCCAGGCAGGCAGGTGGGGACACAGAGCATTTGAAGAGGATGCCAGCAAAAGCCTGGTGGTAGGAGGTATCTTGAGAGTGAGGCTCAGGGGTGCAGGTAGTAGTATAGGGCATGGAGGAACACAAAGAATACACTTGTAAGGAATGACGTGGTTGGAGTTTGTTTACAAAGAACATTCTGATATTAGACTGGACACAGGAGGGGCTGAGAGCAAAGGGACCCACTAAGGGCAAAACAGTAGCACAGACTGGAGACAAGGCTGGCAAAGAGGTGGCAGGTCACAGAGGCCCGGGGAACCTATATCAAGAGTAGTTAGGAGTAAAGAGTCAAGGGCAGCATGTTTCCTATTCAGCGTCAAGCAAAGATGCCCAGAAATTCCAGGAAAGTCTAGATTGGGAGCTATTCCTCATCCTGGCAAGACACTCCCCCGCTTGAGCTTTAACACAATTATAGGGATCATCCTAAAGGGTCCAGACAGCCAGACCCTGGGGACATGGCTTCCTGTTCATCAAGCCAGGTTCCAACAATCGAGGCGGTTTGCACTGGCTAACTGCCCATGGCCCGTGACTCCGCCTGCTGCAGCTCCTGGGGCATCCTTGCAAAATCTGAAGGCTCTTGCCTGTGCTTGTTTCAAGTCCTCTGTAGTAGAGCATTAAATGTCCCCAGATGTGCTCAAAGGTGTGCATCAGGTCCTAGAACCCAAAGTCTTCCAGATGTCTCAGAAGTACAGGCAAAGGGAAACAAGGGTCTGTCAGAAGACAGGGGGATGTCCACAGAGGGCCAGAACTTTACCAAACTGTAAAGATTATGCTCTGGGCATCGGTTAACCCATCTCTAAAAAGCTTCTCTCTGGGGCTTAGCTAAGAAGCACCATCCTGTCCCAGCAGAAGGAAGCATGTCGGTAACAAGCCATCTCTCTTCGGCATCCATGCCACAGCCACTCACCTTCAGAGGGTGACACGGGCCCTATTTCCTAGCAGGACAGTCAACTGCTAGGCTTGTGTGAGGGCTCTCCTGGCTCAGTGAGAAGAGGCAGCCCCACCCCCACACCACCTCTGCCCCCACACTGGGGTGCGTGCGTGCGTGCATGCATGCGTGTGTGCGCGTGTGTGCGCGCGCGTGCACAATTCAGACTACAGTTCTTCTCAGCCAGGGACGCCACTCTTAGTCACAGTAACACTATATGCATCTACATACGGCATGCAAATTGAGAGCCCACCCTTTCCAACTGAGCCCCTCACACAGCAGCAGTGGGTACATGTAGTAGAAATCTATTTTTACCAGGGGCACAGCTTCCAGTGCAGAAGCACAGTAGATTTCCCAGTGATACGTCTCACTATAAATTTTCTACTATAAATTTTCTATTTACTACCTAACAAAAAGAATTACTATGCAGACTTGTTCAGGTGATACAATACTAAATAATCTTTTTCCCCCTTTCGTGGCACATGTCAAATCCTCCTGCTATGTTCTTCACCTTGCCACTACCTTGTCAGTCCCAAATCAGCAAAATAAAGCACACAGTGCAGAGCTCTATCCCCAGAGATCAAAAAGGCAGGAGAACACCCCTCACTGGAGAACTTAAATATGAACTACCATTCAAAATGTAGACACTCGGGTGAGCGTTTTTAAGATTCTGGACCAAAGCTGTTCTAGATGTCAAACTTAAAGAATCTGAACATCCATGGCATGAGTCCTGAAAGTAAAAGTGGGCACAAGGTTCACAGGCAATTTGCAGGTTCACGTGACTTAATAACATGGGTGAAGACTGGGAGGCTAGCCCCGTGGTAGAACACATGCTTAAGCATGCCTGAGGCCCTGGGGTTTGATACTCAGAACCACGATGAATGACAGACTAGCCAGCTAGGTGATAGGTGGATAGGTGGGTTGGTAGGTAGGTAGGTAGGTAGGTAGGTAGGTAGATAGATAGATAGATAGATAGATAGATAGATAGATAGATAGATTGATAGATAGACAGATTGATAGCTAGATAGATATGAAATAAAGCAATGCTCTGTACTGAGAAAATCCCATAATTCCAAAATTAAATGCTAAGTTGTAGACAGGATGCACTTACTAAGTTACATTAAGCAAATTGTCGGCTATAAACCTCTCTGTGTTATAAAGCAGGCCCTTTTGTTTTTAAGAAAATCCAATCTTTCCAAATGCTTACACTGCGCCCCAGGGCAGACACAGGGGTAATTGCAGTAACTAGCATGTACCGGCCGGAAACTGAGAGGCTTCAAATCAACAGCTCCCCAGGAAGCATCTCCCAGCGCGGCTCTTCCAGAAACACAGCTGCATTTAGACACATAGAAAAGATTTTTCACTTACTTCTACTTTCTCTGTAATCCTTGTTCCTCTGAGTGAAAGGGGCCGGGATCACACTGAAATTCCTTTTTGTTTTAATAGGGAAAAAACAAAACAAAACAAAACAAAAAACAACACCAAAACAGCTCTATCCCCTAATTCAGCTTTGGGTATTCTTGCGTAGAGTCTCTTCAATGGAAATTACCTCTAAAGTCTAAACAAAAAGCAAAAATCTTCCAAGTTAGACCAGGGGCCCTGAGGAAGCTCAGCGGTCCACAAACAAGGCAACCGGCTCTATCAGTGGGGTGATTCACAGGGGGTATATTTAGAACGGTGCTTTCCAGAGGGCGTCGAGATGCCAGAGTCGGGACATAGGTGAGGGCTACATCCCAAGAGTCTCTCTGAAGAAAGAACACCAAAATATTAATAAAAAGAGTCTTCTCTTTGAAGTCCCCAAGGCCCTGGTGTCTTCGAGGCTGCGCTTGCCCAGTCTGGTCTTGGCGGAGTCATCCATTACTGGGTAAATCCACATGAAACCTGAGGACGCTTCAGTGGAGGACACAGTCGGAGGCAGTGTGGCAACTCCACATGGGACCAGCCTTTTATGGCCTGAACTGGAGAAGCCTGATAGCAGCTCATGGGCCCGAAATAGCTCTTGACACTCAGAGAGCCCATCAGCTGCTCCAACAGGCCTGGCCAGCAGCCACTTCGAATGCAGCTCAATTGGCTGCATTCTCTTAGCTTGTTTTATAGAGAAATTAAAAAGGTTAACAGCAGGCTTCTGAACAGGTGACCATACAGAATTATACAAGTAAACACGCCCCCAATGCTAGGATTTAGACTGAAAGAAATAACGAAGTGCCATCGTTAAAACTTGGTTCCTGAACACCACACAAAGAAACAGACCCACGGACTGGTACACAAGTGTTACAACACACACAAGCAGCAGAGATCTTCACAAACTGGCAACTGTGTGGTCCTCTCCACACTGCTCAGTCCAGCCCATCGGCAGAATACAGCATTGTCAGAAGGACCTTCTGTAAAGCAACATGAATGTTTTTCTTACAACCCGAGTTTATCCTCCCAGTCAACAAGAGTGGGCTATAGCGATTTGGTTTCCCTTCAAAACCAGACAGACTTTTAACCACTACAAACAAAGGAAAAACAAAAACCAAAAACCAGTTGCAAGCACTTCTTCAATGGCCACGTGCATTTTTTTTAAACACCGACACTAAATATCACAACTCCACTTACAAAAGTACTCACGAGGGCAAGCATCCCTGCTGCTACAAGGGAAAGGCCAGTCTTAATGGTCTGCAACAGCTTCCATGTGAATCGCGCAGCTCATTAAGTCCAGGGCAGAGAGCAAAGCTGTGTGCTGTGTGGGGCCTCCGGCTGGCATGCCTCTGAGTGTCACATTCCCAGACCACCAGCTGCATCATCCAGGAGTAGGGAGGGCTGACAATGAGGGTCAGAATTCCTGTCACTAATTAACTCTGCAGGACAATATCTACTTCTAAAAAAGAAAAAAATAACCCCTGGCCAGGCGGAAAGATGACAGTGCTGTGCTGGACGGTTCAAAACACTGAAAGAATACTGCAGCCACGAAAAAAGAAGAACGTCTGTGGTGACGGAGAAGCTAACCTTCGTCACTCCACCCACCAATCAAAACACCATAGCCTTACAAATATAGAGAGTTTTTATGCGCTGATTTAAAAAACAGACGGCAGGTACCCTGGAGAGACACTAGTTTCAGACTATTTTGTTCAAGGGTTAGAATAGTTTGTCAAGCCAATTTTTAATCGACTTCTGAATGGCAACCAAACTAAATTTCTCAGAGCAACGTCGGCATCTAATTTGAGCTGCAATCCCTATCTTATTGTCTCTCTTACAAATTCAGCGTTTCCCTCATCTTTAGGTTTATTTTATCTTGTGTAAGTGCTTGTTGGTGGTGTGCGTGTGGCATATGCCTGAGTGTGCACCAGGTATGTGTGCCCATTTGCACACGTTCGAGGCCAGTGGAGGACACTGGATGCCTTCTTTACGGCTTCCTACTTTATCTCACGAGACAGTCAGATTCTCACTAAACCTGAAGCTTATACTGTTTCAGGTCGGCTGCCTGCCCAGCTAGGTCCCAGGATCTGCCTGTCTCCATTCCCTCAACACTGGGGTTAGAGAAACACCAAGTTTTTACATGCTGAGGATTCAAACTGAGGTCCTCTCGCCTGCAGAGCAAGTGTTCTTCCTCACTTCCAACCCTGGCTGGGTTTTGTTTGTCCTTTGATTTCTCAAGACAGGGTTTCTCTGTGTAGTTCCGGATGTCCTGGAACTCACTCTGTAGACCAGGCAGGTGTCAAACTCAGAGATCCTCCTGCCTCTGTCTCCCAAGTGCTGGGAACCAGAGAGCAGGCAGTGATGAGCAGTGGTTAAGGGTGCAGTAAGCAGGCTACGGAGGGAAACAGGGGGGGTCCTCATCACAGGACTCTCCATTCATCTACTGACTATGCCAACGGCAGTGTCCTGGTTTGGAATCCTGCTCCATAGTTTGCAAGCTGTTCCCACTGGGACACTGGGTAAGGAGATACAATCCCTTTAGAGGACATTCGCACTGGGGGACACTGGGCTAGGAGTCATGATGTCTTTGTGTTTTATCTTTTATTTATTCTATGTGCATGTACATATTTTTGTGTGTATATGTGTGTGCGTGCTGCTTGTGTGCACCCATGAGCACACACAGAGGTCAGAGAAGGACTTTGGGTGTCTTCTCCTATCACTCTCCACCTTATTCCCTTGAGGCAGGGTCTCTCACTGAACCTAAATTTTACTGTTTTGTTGTTGTTTGTTTGTTTGTTTGTTTGTCTAGACTGGCATCCAACAAACTCTAGTAATGCTCCTGTCTCCACCCCCAGTCCTGGGGTTACAGGTACACGTGGCTTGCTTTTCACAGAAGTGCTGAGGAGCGAACTCAGGTCTTCACCCCTGTGCAGCAAGCCCTTTACCCCCTGAGCCATGTCCAAAGCCTCCCAGGATGTGTCCAAGTAAGGGGAAACACCAGACAAAACATCACACACATCTGCTCTGACTGTGGAAATGACTGCTGTTTCCCAACCAACCACCCTTCACCCTTGCATCTGGGTTCCCCAAACTGGGAGCCGGGTCCACCCCCAACTGCAGAGTCTCTGGAAACACCGAGCCTTGCCATGTGAGCATCAGCCTTCTTGTGTATTTCCTCTCAGGGTCAAGGCAGACTGTGACAGGACGCCCCCCCCCCCGCCCCCAAGCTCTTCTCTTCCTCATAGGCACCTCTCCAACCATCCAGCCTGCTGCTTCCAGACCAGCCTTCATCAGCTTCCCTGCCTTGGCATCCCTCCCTCCCAGCTTTGGTTTTTAGTTATTGACCTGTCAGAAGCTGCCTCTACTGGACAGGTGGGTAACAGTTACTCCTCACGTCGCTAGGCAAACTTTACACTAAACTGTCTGAAGAAGAGATTTGATAATAGTCTTTTATAAATACTTGAGAAGCTGCATTGAACCTAGAGGTGATCTCATTACAGACCAAGAACTGGTTTGCCCTTTGAGCGCTTTGGGGAATTTCTCCACGCATCATCCAGCACAGTACTGCTGGCAGAAACCAAAAGTAAGAATGGTTGTCTACTGACTACATTGTGGGAACCCTAACACCTCTTCAGTGGCATGCCACGTGACTACCGCCCCCACCGAGTCATCTGTACATAAGCCACACAGGGTCATACTGCTGAAGGAAGGTGCTCCTGTCTCCTGAAAGCCTTTTCCTCATCCTCACTTAGGAAAGCCCTCACCATCCTTAAAATTCCACCTAACTCTTCCCTGGTTCTGAAAGGGCAGGGAACCCATGATCTCTTCGTCCCTGGAGAACGTGAGTCAACCACTTCACCCAGGTAATAAATGTTGGAGAAACGGAGTCCTAACATCAGCATGAAAAGCACATTTTTAAATCTGCTCATTTCCAGGGGAAGAACGGCTGCACAGCCAGAACCCACAAACTGTCCTGATTCCTGCTGCGGCAGGACACGACTTGGATTCATCCACATTTTTTCAGAGCGCTTAGGGTTCTGATAGGGATATGCAGGGTCTCCTAACATCTACACCCAAGCATCAGTGTGGGTCTGACACTGTGGCCATCTATACCATAGTCATTTTGTTTGTGGATAGATTCATTCATTTATTCTTCTTCCCCTCCCTCATTTACTGCCCCCTCCCTCCCTCTCCTCCTCCCTGATCCTTTTCCTTGTTTTCTTTTGTTTTATATATATATATATGGGTATGTGTTTGTGTGTGCACATGCACGTGGCAGCCAGCAGTCCACCTTGGGTGTCATCCCTCATGAGGTGTCATCCAGCTTGTTTTTTAAGACAGTCTCTGCTTGAGACCCAGGACTGCTGACTAGGCACAGCTGACTGGCTAGTGAGCTCCAGGGATGCTCTTGGCTCCCCTTTTCCAGTGCTGGGGTTTTATATGCATGCTGCCTCACTCAGCTTCTTTCTGGGTTCCGTACATAGCGCATTTCCAAGACCCCAGATGTTTGAATGCAGCCACAAGATACTCTGCTTTTTCTCGGGATCACCGATCAATGCATCATGCAGAAAATGAACTGGATAGAGCTGTCCAGATGTGTCTGGGTAACAGCCTTGGCCTCATTATGTCCCTTCTTGTTCTAAAATAACGGTGACATCAGAGCTTGACCAGGACAGGGAAAACAAGGCCACAGCACTCTAAGCCTCCTGCCTTCTGAAGATCCTGCTTTCTAATGACAATGAACTTGAGCAATTACTGGAAGTCTTTTTAAATCTGCTCATTTCCAGGGGAAGAAAGGCTGCACAGCCAGAACCCACAAACTGTCCTGATTCCTGCTGCGGTAGGACACAACTTGGATTCATTCACGTTTTTTCAGAGCGCTTAGGGTTCTGATAGGGATATGTAGGGTCTCCTAACATCTACACCCAAGCATCAGTGTGGGTCTGACACTGTGGCCATCTATACCATAGTCATTTTGCTTGTAAGTAGCTTTATTTAAAAGACAAACGTCTTCAGTCGTGGTGGTTTCCAGTCAATCTCTTGATCTCCCGGTCATTCAGTCAATCTGTGGAGTCTGTCTGTCTGT